GCCAGCTAATGCCTCTCGTCCTGGCAGAGGGCGGACCAGGCAGCCAGGCGAGCGCAGACCCGTGACCTCAGGCGCAGGAGGCGCCGAGCCAGAGGGGTCGCTCCGGGGTTGCTCCCCCGGCTCCTGCAAGAGCAGCAGGAGCGGGGTCTCGGTCTCCAGTGAGAATTCACACCTGAAGAAGAGATGCAGGGAGGAGGTTTATGTTAATTTGCAAGAGAGGGAAGGACCAAGGGCGGCTAGTCAATTCAGGGCAGGGAAGAAGGGGGTTATATATAGACTAGAAGCCCAGCCGGAAATTCCACGCTGCCCCGCCCACCACGCGGTGCTGCTCACAGCCCTGCCCACCCGGAGGTCTTTGGTCATTAGGGCGTTAGGGCCGAAGGCCTTTTATAATACAGATTATTACGTTTTTATTGATTCCAGAGAGGAAGGGAGAAGGAGAAAGAGAGAAACATGAAGGATGAGAGAGAATCATCGGTCGGCTGCCTCCTGAACGCCCTACACGGGGGATGGAGCCTGCAACCCGGTCCTGTGCCCTGACCCCAATCCAGCTGTGACCTCCTGGTTCCTAGGGCGACGCTCAGCCCCTGAGCCCCGCCCCTGGCTGAAGAGGATGCCATCCCTGCCAAACTCAGTTGCCTCCCAACATGCTTCTGTGGCCAGAGTGGGGGTGTGTAACCTGGAATGCTGGGTGCAGATATCTTCATGGTGTATATTTTATTTCCTTTTAGTGAAATGGTATTTCAGTTAAAGTATAGTTTTAGTTTTTTTGTAATTGCAGTATTTCTTCACTTGCTTTCGGAGGTTATATTTACACTAGAGGCCTGGTGCATGAAATTCGTGCACTTGGGGGGGGGGTTCTTTCAGCCCTGCCTGCACCCTCTCGCAGTCCGGGAGCCCTTGGGGGATATCCAACTGACGGCTTAGGCCCGCTCTGCGGCAGTCAGACATCCTTATTGCTGCTGCGGAGGCGGGAGAGGCTCCTGCCACCGCCACTGCACTCAGCAGCCCTGAGCCCAGCTTAGGGCTTCTGGCTGAGCAGCGCTCCCGCTGTGGGAGCGCACAGACCACCAGGGAGCAGCTCCTGCATTGAGCGTCTGCCCCCGGTGGTCAGTGGGCATCATAGCGACCAGCCATTCCACAGTTTGGTCGATTTGCATATCTGCCTTTTATTATATAGGATGATTTCTAATGTACTTTTCGGTAAATATGAAATTATGAAAAAATCTCTTGTTGACATCTTTTATTTTTGTTTTATTGAATTTATTGGGGGGGGGAGTTGGTTAATAAAATTATATAGGTTTTAGACCTACAGTACATCATCTGTAAATTATATAGTGTATTCACCACCCAAAGTTGACAAAATTTAATATCCATTCAAGATAAGATACCTTAGCAAACTAGGAATAGAGGGGAACTTTTTAAACAAAAAGAAGTGAGCATATACCTTATACTTTATACAAAAACTAAAGGAACATGAAGTATAGACCCAAATGTAAAACATGAAACTATAAGACATAGAGAAGAAAATAGGGAATTTGTGTGACCTTGGGTTTGGCAACGACATTTTTGATATAACACCAAAAAGATAATCCATGAGAGAAAAATGTGGTAACTTGGAACTTATCTGAATTGAAAACTTTTGCTTCATGGAAGATACTCATAAGCAAGTGAAAACACATTAGTGTGGAGCAAGATGGCAGATTAGGAAGCCGAGGGCACTTCCCCAGTGACAGGGCAAGGGAGTGGGGTGGTGTATTCAGCACCGAGGGAAACCGTGATAACCGAGAATACTCTTGCCGGGGTTTCCGCATCTACAAGTGTCCAGGAAATCTGCAAAAGGGCTGTGTGTAAATGAATGAAGAGGCCAGAGAAGAAATATGAATTTGGAAGGCATTTTGGGGTGCTAGACGGAAACTTAGTTCTAGTGACTAAGCTCCCTGAATCTCTGGACCCCTAGCTTTTTATTAATACAGTTTGCCCTCTAGCAAAGCAGATATACATATCCAAGGTAAGGTTTGGAAAACAGTAAAAGATTATCAGGTTGGGGGAACTGCCTTCGCTGTTCCAGCAGCAGGTAATAACATACAGATCTTCAGTCCTGCTGGTGCCTAAAGGTTCATCAACCTTTCAATGAACTTCTTGCATGATTATGACCCGCTGGAATTAGCCTCCAGCATACTCTGTCCGGCAAATACGAAGGAGAGAGGGACTTTCACACAACAGGGGAGTGTTCATCACTGCTGGCCCTGCTTGATAAGAAATGCTCCAGAATTATCCAAGTGGAAAGGAGAGCACGCTAACCAGCAAGACAAAAGCATGTGGAACGTTAAAACTCGCTCCTAAAGGTAAATCGATGGACAAGCACAGAGCCCTGTAATGATGGTGGATAAATCTCATTCTAGTAGAAACGTTAAATGACAAAAATAACTATAAAGCATAATGGGTACACATAGAAAAAGGACATCAAAAACTTGGGGGGGGGGAGTAAATGTGTGTTTTTGTATGTAATCATAGTTGTCTTCAGCTTAAAATAGACGTATGTTTTATGTAAACCTCCCCCTCCCCCTGTGACCACAACGTATATATCTATTCAAGATACACCAAAGAAAAAGAGGAAGGAATCGGAGTGCGTTGTTCTAAGAATGCGCGTGTTGGTTGTGCTACGATGAGGTCAGCGTGGCACAGGAGGGAGGGAGAGGGAGGGTGGAAGGGAGAAGTCTATTGTACTCAGATCCCAGAGAGCAGTAAGCACGTGCCGTGCAGGGTCACAGCCAGGACCGCAGGCCTCCTCCTCCCCGTCCGCTACAGGGAATGACCCCCAGAAGCACAGGATGGCGCGGAGACCCCGCTGCCTGCTTCCGGTGGAGCCCCAGGCTCCCAGCAGGTGTAAGATGCCACCTTTCAGCTGGACTCAATCCCGCCCACTCCTCTCTCGGAGGATCAGCAAAATAATAGGTGTCCAAGTTGACACCATTTCTCTGACTCACTGTATTGGGTTGTGGACGGTTCTAGCAGCTCTCTCTGCCCTCATTTAATCCTAAAGTGCTGGAGGCTAAGTAAATGCAAGAAGACCCATCGGAAGGCCAGTGGACTTTGATATTCAGCAGGGCTGAAAATCAGCATAATATTGCCCTGCTGTGGGCTCAGTGGCTGAAGGCAATTCCCTAACCTGATAATCCTTTTACTGTTTACCAAACTTTACCTTTGATACGCCTGTATGCATTCCTGAAGGGCAAGTGTGTATTCAAGTGAATAAACGCAGACGGGACCCAGAAGTCGGAGAGCTTCTCCACTAGAGGGAAGTTTCCACCTGGCCCCCGTGCCTTCTAAATTCATATTTCTTGTCTAGTGTTTTCATTTGTGTGTGGCCCCTTCTTCAGATCCTGAACCCTAGCTGTAAATGGATGTGGCATAAAGCACCCCTCCTGGTTCGGCCTCCACCTGCCCACGCTTCACCCAGGGGCCCCTCGAGGTTCTGGATGGGAAGAGTGGAGTGTGGTTCAGGCCCTCCTCTGACCTGCCACAGCCCCACCCTTTGCCCTCTTCTCTGGCTGTGGCACAAAGGGCCAGGGATTGGGTGGCTCACACACCACTTAGTGCTCACAGTTCTGGGGACCACAAGTCCAAGGTCAGGGTGTGAGCGTTGGACTTCTCAGCCCCTCTCCTCGGCTTGTAGATGCCAGTCTTCTCCCGTGTTCTTTCCTCTCTGTGTGTCTGTGTCCTAATCTCCTGTTAGGACATGAGTCATATTGAAGTAGGGCCCACCCTCATGCCTCATTTTAACTTGATGACCCCTTTAAAGGCCCTATCCCTAAATAGAGTTACATTCGGAGGTACGGGGGGTTAGAGCTTCCATATATAAAATTGTGTGTGTGGGGGCACACATTTCAGCCCATAACAAACCTACTTATTGGTAACTAGTGGCCCGGTGCGCAAAATTTGTGCACAGGGGAGGGGTCCCTCAGCCTTGCCTGCACCCTCTCCAATCTGGGACCCCTTGGGGGATGTCTGACTGCCGGTTTAGGCCTGGTTGGGCCTAAACCGGCAGCCGGACATCCCTCTTGCAATCCGGGACCTCTGGATGCTAACCGCTCACCTGCCTGCCTGCTTGATTGCCCTTAACCACTCTGCCTGCTGGCCTACTTGCCCCCAACTGCCTCCACACCGGCCTTCTCACCCCCTACTGCCTCCCCCTGCCAGCCTGATTGCTCCCAACTGCCCCCCCACCAGCCTGATCACCCCCAACTACCACTGCCTGCTGGCCTGATCACCCCCAATTGCCCTCCCAGCCGGCCTGGTGGCCCCTAACTGCCCCCTCGCTGGCTTGTTGGCACCACGCAGCCTGCTGGTCAGTCCTTTGGTAGTCCCTCACACCTGTCCTGATCGCCCCTAACCGCCTCTGCCTTTGCCCCACACCATGCTTTGTCCAGAAGGACGTCCGGAAGGTCTCCTGGAAGGTCTTTGGTCTAGTTAGCATATTACCCTTTTATTAGTATAGATAGGATATGACATACCACCATAACTATAGCATATCTACCAGTATTACTCTATGAGAATACGTACTTCATGCGATATGATGGCATCTAATACATTATATTGTATATGTTGTAAGTAGTAGGAAATACTGTATTTGTAGCAATAGTATACACCCTGTGACTTCCTTTGCTGACTTGGGAATGGTTCCCCAGTTCTTTGAACGTTTCCTGGCCCCTGATGTATTTGGAAAGAAAATAGCTCTGAGTTTGGAGAAATTAAATTACAATCATGACTCTAATTCAACTGCCTCCTGTACTTCCAGCCAGATAACAGGAAAAACATCCCGGGCCAGCACCTCCTATGGCTGAGCTCCGAGTGAGGGCCCGCGGCCCAGCGCTGGGCGGTGATGGCGACTGGAGGCACCGCGGGTCCATCCTGCTGTCAGCCCGGATACCAGGGCCCTCTGCTCCCAGCCCCTCCTGAGCCCCTGTGCCTCCTAACAGGGTCCCGAGGCTGCGCCCCTGATCCCGCTGCCCTCTCCTCGCCGGGGACCGGGGCGCGGCGGCGCAGGGTTCAGGCATCCCATTTTCATTAAAATGTTCAACCTGCACCCAATCCACCGGTGTCCGCAGGCAGCCAGGGGCAGACAGTGATCCCGGGGGTGCTCACTGCCCCCGGCAGAGCTCAGCCACGATGGTCCGGGGTGAGACAGCCCCGCCAGGTCCCGCGGCTGCGACTTGGTCCTGCTTCCTTAACCAGGGACCTGGTGCTGGGCGGGCGGCAGTGGCACTTCCTCCCCAGCCCGTGCTGGAACGGGTCCCTGTGGTTTCAGAACCGAACTCTGAGGGCCTCCCTGGGCGGCAGCAGCCCTGAGCCCGCCGGCTCTCCCTCCATCCCACCAAGGCTTGCTTCTCACTCTTGCTTCTCACACTTGCTGAAAACCTTCTCGGTCCACTTGCCATAGTAATCTCTTGCAGGGCTGAGGGGACTGGGTGCCACCATCCTTATGGCTGTGTGACGGTCAATTTGCATATTCCGTCTTTATTAGCTAGGATTGGCTCCCTTTGTCATTTGAAGTACAAAGCAGTTGTCAGATAAAGTAACGCTTCTCCCGTGGCTCCCTGAGGCGCTCACAGCTCTCTTGCCATATCGGTCTGGGGAGCTGAGAGCCGTAAAAGGGCCCTTTGCCTCCGCTGTGTGTGAAGGGAACCTGAGCATCCCAGCTCCTCCTCCCTTTCCCACCGTCACTTCCACGCCCTTAACGTCAGGGTCGTGCCCTGCCCGGCCTCGGACACGGCAGCCCAGTAGGTCGGTCTTCTGCTCACACTGACGGGGTCCCTCCAGACGCCCCCGAGGACACATTTCCCAGGTAGTTTAGGGGGGAAAACCACAAGGGCCGACAAACCTGAACTCAGTCTCCCTCACCACACCTGCGCTAGTGCTGTGGCCTCCAGGGAAACGTCAACGCCAGCCATGTGTGGATTTACTAGAGGCCGGTGCTCAAAAATTCATGCACTGGAGGGGGGTCCCTCAGCCCGGCCTGCCCCCCTCACAGTCCGGGAGCCCTCAGGGGCGGGAGGCGACCCTGCGATCAGGGGAAGGCGATGCCCCATTACACCTCTGCTGCAGCCACTGCCGGCAGCGCAAGCCTCAGCTGGCTCTGGTTACCTGAGCCTCGGGCGGCCCTGGGCGGCTGGGGGGCTGAGGGGACTGGGTGCCGCCATCTTTGAGGGCATGGCAATTAGCACATTCCCTCCTTATTGGCTGTGGGTGCTGCCATCTTTGCGACAGCGTGAGGGTCAATTAGCATATTCCCTCCTTATTAGATAGGCTGTGAGGAAACGGCAGTGGTGTGACTGGTCCATTGTTAGCGACTCCAGCGGAGGAAGCTCCCCTGGGCCTCATTCACAGCAGCACAGGCTGCACCCCACTGAGGCCCTGCCCGGGGACTCGCCGTGCCATAGTGGGCACCGAGTCTTTACCTACGGAATCAAATTCACGTTCCTGCTCGTCAGCCCACAGCCCGGGCACATGCCCTGACTGGGAATCGAACCGTGACCTTCCAGTTCGTAGGTTGACACTCAACCACTGAGCCACACCAGCCGGGCTGACGCCACTGTTTTTGTTGACATCTCCTCTGCTTTTCATGGCCTCACTCAGGGTTTGGCCAGACCAGCAGGGAATAACCTCTGAAATTAAAATAATCCCCTCATTTAATTAAACCAGCTTTGCTGAGTGTGGGGACCTTGAGATCATAGAAACCTGCTTTAGAACAGGTATCTTCTTCAAATTGCCTTTTGAAATCTGTTTGTCTTAACCGTAAAGTAGTCCTCTGAAGCAGGAACCTACCTGGAATCCTGGTTAGTGGCTCTAATTATGTATGATTTCGTTGTGTGGCTCAAACACAAAGCCTGACCAGCCTTCCTCCCTGAACTTTTAGCTACTAGTCTCTCCACATTTCTGTCCTTGTATTTCATTATGAACGTAAATTTGCTTTTGATCAACTGTCAAACCTTTAAAGGGTCTCCGAGGGGCCCGGAGCCCGAGAAGGGGAGATGGAATGACCCACGATGATCAGGTTGCCAGGGGTGCTCACGCGCTCCTGAGCGCAGCGGAACTCAGAACTGCGGGGCGAGGCTGCCGTCCAGTGTTGATGTCACACAGCTCGGCCCAATGAGCACAGACGCCAAGCTGGCCAGTGGCTGTCCATTCTGCTGCTCCGGTGGGGCCGCGAGCTCTCCAAACGGACACCTTAGCCGCTCCCTGGAGGACAGAATTTCCTTTCTCGAGTGGAAGGTGTGAGGAATTCCTGATGAGATGTGCTGCTCCCGGAAGTTTGTTTTAATCGTGTGTTTTCTTTTCTGCTGGCTTCCATCCTGCAGTGGCGACCTGGACAGTGCGTATCCGCGGGGGTGGCCGCTCTCTCCGCTCACCTGTGCCTGGGTTCAGGGAGTCCGAGGCTCATTGCAGACAAAGTGGTTCCCGGGAGGGACAAGGGGAAACCTCTTCCCTAAAACACGGATCACAGAAGGGACTGTGTGTTCTCCGTCTCGTCCAACGTCACAGTTTGAAGAAGTTATTCTCGGAGGCCTTCCCACAGGAGATGTTTAGGTCTCGTGTGCAGTGGGGGCTCGTCACTGACAGTGGCCACGCTGTAGGGGCCCAGGTGTGGGGTGAAGCCATCTGCGCAGGCAGTTCCTTAGCTTCAGCTCCCGCTGCGAGAGGCCGGGAAAGGCCTTCCCGCCGCCCTCCGTCCTTCCTTTTCTCGGGTGTTGCACTTTGTTCGTCGCATTAATAATGCGCCCTCAGCTCCGTCCCTTGGCCCGGTCAGCCTCCCCGGGCCACGCACCCATGTTTTCCCCGCAGAAGGCTCTGTGGTTTGGGGGTTCATTCTTCTTCCCGGGAGGAGCACACAGAGGCTGCTGCCGGCTGGGTGGAGAGGGGGCCCTGTTCACTGCCACCTGCACGTCTCCTCCAGGTAAAACTTCTGAAGTCCTCACCATAGCCATGATCAGCATTGGCGTCGGCATCCTGGTGGCCCTGCTCGCGCTGATAGGTGTCATCAGCTGTCTTTACTTCAAAGTGGCCAGGGCATTGAAGTAAGTGACGTGGTAAGAGTGGCCACTCCCTGGGCTGAGCTGGAGCAGGGCACGCCCTGCCCTGGGCCGCCCCCCGGGGTCAGGAACAGGGCAGCTGGGAAAAGGCAGAGGCAGGTGAGCATGGAATCCCGGCCCTTCCCCTCGGGGCTGGGCTGTGAGCTCACAGTGAGGTTCCCAGCAGGCAGGCGGCTCTGGGTCAGCGCTGTCCGCTGCCTGGGCCTCGGGGAGCTGCCCCTCCGCGGGGACACACACCCTGGCTGGCCCTGCTTGTGTCCCGGGCGCTGCAGACTGAGGACCGTGGGGCAGGCACGTGGGAGCCTCTGCCTCGGTTCGCCCAGAGGACGGGCTCGGTCAGTCTCCCCAGCCCGAGCTCGGAGCTCCCGGGGTTCCCTCCTCCATCGCCCGTGGCCTTGGGGACAGGGAGGTGCCTGTAGGCGTGGGGAGCTGAGCTGGTGAAGATCCGGGGACACCAGAGAAGGAGGGGAGCTCAGGCAGGTCATTCAGTTGGGGGGAGAGGACCCTTCCAATGTGGGAGGTTTGCTGGCAGAAGCCGTGGAGCTCCTGCTCTAGGGAGGGAGGCTGTGCACCAGGTCAATCCAGACCCCGGGGCAGCTGGTGGGCGCCTGCCCCCCACCCGGGCTCCGCAGTTGGGGCCTCAGCCACTGGGGGAGCAGCGCTGGCAGCTCCTCTCCCTTCGTGCTGGGTCTGGCCTGGCATCTCTGGCGTCTTGGAGAGCACGTGACCTGGAGCCTGGCCAGGGCAGAGCTTTCCTCTAGGGCTGGGCCGCCCCAGACCCCCGGCACCCTGACCGCGGGCACAGGCGGGCTGAGAGGGGGTTCTAATCCCTCCTGTGTGTCTCTTTTCTTAAGAGTTTCAAAACCACCTTTTTGTTTGGCCTTAAAAAATCATCCGTCCGTGGTCACCCAGGACAAGATCTCCGCAGCCCCGTCCATCACCGCCGGCTGCTACCCCAACCTCCAGTTCTGCGAGGAGTGCCCCTTGTTCACCGACTTCGACTGCCTGCCGCCATGCTTCTGCGACGTGAACGAGGGCCTCTGACTCAGGTGGGCACGGATCCTTCCGGAGCCACCTTTCCTTCTTAGTAGCATGTTTTATTATTCAGGTCAAGTTTTGTAGTGTGTATATTGTGTACTGTGTAACGTATTTATGTGCTTTTGAATAAATGCAGTATTGAAACAACCCTCTCTGCCTCAGGGATGTTTGTTGATGTTAGGTTACAAATGTTCTTAAATTTGTGTATTACCCACTTTGCAACCTGGCAACTAGCTTGTAATAATATCATATTGCCATGTAAGGAGAGTGAGAGTAGAATGGATGGATGGATGGACAGGTGGGTGGGTGGATGGGTGGATGGATGGATGGATGGATGGATGGGAGGATGGATGGATGAATGGGTGGGTGGGTGGATGGATGGATGGATGGATGGATGGGAGGATGGATGGATGAATGGGTGGGTGGGTGGATGGATGGATGGGTGGATGGATGGATGAATGACTGGCTGGATGGATGAATGGATGGATGGTTGGTTGGATGGATGGATAGATGGATAGATGGATGGATGAACGAATAGAAGAGGGCTGCCCCACGCTCCTCTTAAGCATGACTTCCGGTGGATGGAATGGGTGGATGGATGGATGAATGACTGGCTGGATGGATGAATGGATGGATGGTTGGTTGGATGGATGGATAGATGGATAGATGGATGGATGAACGAATAGAAGAGGGCTGCCCCACGCTCCTCTTAAGCATGACTTCCCGATGTCACAGGTGCTAGACCTCCCACTACAGCCCCAGTCTCACCTTGGAGACCAGGATTCCTTTCTCTCATCTGCCAAACACAGTGCCAGGGACTTGAATTCACCTGCTTCAGGCTCTCGGGACATGGTCAGCTAGAAATTCATGGATGCTGAACTGTACTTTCTTCTTCCTCCCTGTCCTGTGTCACCCCCTCCCCTCCCTCACCGTCAGCACCCTGGCAGCATCCAAGTGACCCAGCTGGACCCTGAGTCGGCCCAGATGCCATCCCCACCCCCAACTTGATTCTTTGGACCCCCCCAGGCTTTAGTGTTTAGAGAAGGGCAGTGAAGGCTTTAGGGTCAATGATGTTACCCCCTCCATGATCTGGACATGTCACAGGGCATAGGCCCAATTCCCAGTCAGGGCCAGGAGGAGGTCCCCAGTGCCCACTGTGTGCCAGGGCTGGGGGTGCCTGTGAAGAGCGTTCGCTGGTGCCATCCCCAGGGCCTCCGGACTCGGTGGAGGAGAGCACGCACTCACTGTCGGGAATGGCTGACACATGGGCCACAGCTGCTGTGCTCACACCGCTCCCCCGATACTGAACAGTTTCAGACAATGATCAAGTGCTCGAGAGCGAAGAGTCAGAAAACGCAAGGATCTGATTTACTAAACGCATCGCTTTACTGAAGAGGAATACACGCGGCTGCTAGTCCCTCCCAGGTTGTGGGGAAACGGGAGAAATCACGCCACGCCCTGGCTCCCCTCAGTTCCTCTGCGGATTTCCAGGGGCCCCAGCACCCGGAGACGCCCCGCCTGCTCCCCCGCGCCCACCACAGGGCCCGTGC